TGTAGCTCTTAGAAAAGATGAAGTCATGAAATTTACATACAAGTGGTACAATATGGAAAGTATCATGCTAAGCGAAATGAGTCAGAAAGAGAGGGACAGACATAGAAAGATTGCATTCATCTGGGGGATATAAAGTAACAAAATATGAGATTAATACCCAAGAATAGCTGAGATCAGCACCAGGAGGATTACTCCATAACTTAGAGGCCAGCCAGGTATCCTAGAGGAAAGGGCAGTTCAGATAGAGAAGGGAGCACCAAATAAAGTATGTTTGGAGGATCCTCCCAGGAGGGGAGATGCATGTCGAAAGTAGACTATGGACTGAACATGTTTGCCACTCAATGCCTCTTTTGCAGACCACAACACCCAAAAGGAAAGAGAGAACACAGGGGATTGCCCTGCCACAGAGACAGGGGGGATGGAGGGGATGGGGGTGGGAGGGATATTATCCATGGTGGTGGAAAATGGGCACTGGTGGAGGGATGGGTATCTGATCATTGTATAATTGAAACCAAAGCACAAAAAATTGTAAATCTACAACTTTAAAAAAAATAAAATAAAATAAAGGGAAAAAAAAAATAGGCAGAGTACCTGAATGTACCTTTTATAGAGAGGTACAATGGCTTGGGGCTGGAGCAAAGCACAGCAGGTAAAGGAATTGCCTTACGAGTTTGATCCCCAGATCCTCACCAGGAGTGATCCTGAGTACAGAGCCAGGAGTAAACCTTAGTACCTCTGAGTACCACTGAGTGTGCCCCCCCATACCCCCCCTTAAAAAAAACCACAAAACACAAAGATATACAACTGCCAACAAGAATAGGAAAAGGTTTTTAACATCACCAGAGTAAAACAAATCAAAACCAGTGAGGGCCAGGGAGATAGTTCAAAGAACACATGCTTTGCATGTGGGGGGTGGGGGGTGGGGGGTCAGGGTACAATCTCTAGTCATATATGATACAGAAATGGCCTCAGAGCACCATTTATATATATATGTATAAGGTAAAGGTAAAGGCCCTCCCGTTGATCGTCGATTTGCTCGAGCGGGCCCAGTAACGTCTCCATTGGAGACTTTGTTGTTACTGTGTCTGGCATATCCAATACTCTCGGTAGCTTGCCGGGCTCTCCGAGAGGGGCAGAGGAATCGAACTCGGGTCGGCCATGTTGGCCGCTTGTAAGGCGAACGCCCTACCCGCTGTGCTATCGCTCCACCCTATATATATATATATATATATATAGAGAGAGAGAGAGAGAGAGAGAGAGAGAAAGAGTCAATGCATATATATTGAAAAACAACTTAGAAAAAGAGAGTTCAGATTTTTGATTTCTAGGGGAAAGACATGAGCTTTGATGAAGATGGTTAAAAGGTACAATGTTCTTATTTTTTAAAAATTACTGAGAATGGGATATATATTTATATAAATATAAAAGTATACATTAGAATTGTATATTACATAACTACATATATAAATTATATATTATGTATATTATATATAAAATTACTGAGAATGAGATATATATATATAAAACTGTAGTTATACTACTAAATGACGTATTTGAAAGTTAAGTGAGTCTTTAAAGATCTCAACACAAGAAAAAGCTTTCTGTCATTTTGTAATCTATATGAGATGATAGATGCTAATTCAATGAATCGTGATAAGAATTTAAATTTACAGAGTATTATACATGAATTGTTTCAACAAAACTGAAAAACCAAAAAAACTTAACAATGATTGATTAACTTATAATTCTGAAGGTCAGGAGTTGCATGTTATCCTTTGAGTGAAAACCAAGGTGTTGGAAGAACTCTGTCATTTCTGGAGGCTGCAAGGGGAATCCATGCTTAGTCCACTGTCTTGCAGCCGTGCTGCACTCCACTACCATCATCTTTCATCTTTAAAGCCAGTAGGGTCGGTATATTAAAATCTGTGTGACTGCGTCATCACCTCTTCTCACCTGCCTTTTTCTTATAAGGACACCTGTTTACATTTGAGCCACCCAGATAAGAGAGATGCCTCTGACCCTGCACCAGGCTGTCTCATCCGGGACAACTCGGAGTGGGGCAGGTGACTCTCTTCACCAGCCCCAACAGAGTCCCGGCAGCCAAAAACCTCCAGAACTCCATTGCCACAACGCTCATGGCCATCTCTACAAGCTTAGATTAGCCTCATCTATGAGTAAATCTGCTGAAAAACTCAGTTATGCAGATTTGGTGACCAAAATTTCCAGACTAGCATGGAGTTGGGAATGGGTGACTTCCCCCATTTTCCTGTGCTTCTGGTAGCCACTAACTGTCTCTTGTGCCATATAAGCTCACTAATGGCCATGAGCCAGAGACTCACAAATAAATCTTGGAAGAGAGCAACAAGCTGAGCCATTTAGATAATCCAGGATAATTCCTCATCTCAAGACCTCTCAACAGCACAGAGAAGGGTCCCTTTTGCCATGTAATAGAACAAATTTACAAATTACAAACGTGGAAGATTAGGATGTGGATATTTTACATGTGTGGCTATTTTACTCTCTCTACTGCAAGGAGCATCCATTGTTTATATGAGCTGATTTGTGGGCTGATGAGTGACCCAGTCAATATGCCACGGAAACTGCGAATTGAGTTGTGCTGTAATGGGATGAGTGTTCTTTGAGCAAACTAGGGTAACTGTAATTTTATATAACTAAATCATGTAAATCATAGATCAGCAGGGTTTTTTTTGGTTTGTTGGTTAATTTTGGGGGTTTGGCAGTGCTCAGGAGCTACTCCCTGCTTGGTGCTTAAAAGACATTTCTATAGTGTTCAGGAGCCCATGGAGTGCTGGGGATCAAACTGGGGCTTCCCACTGACAGGTCTCTCAACTCCAAGATTGCCTGGTTACTAAGTTTACTATCCTGGTGACTGAAGTCAGTCAGAGGAGAGGGACAGACACAGAGAGATCTTCCTGTATACGCAGAGTCTAAGGAAACACGTAGGGGAGCAATAGATGGCCAAAAGCAATAGAAATGGGACCATTGGTCTGGAGATCTGAGCTTATGTGGAGGACGGGGGTGGGGTAGCAAGTGGGAGGTGTCATTAGGACACTGGTAAGCAGGTCTGAGCTTACATGGGGACAGGTATAGGGTAGCAAATGGGAGGTATCATTAAGACATTGGTAAGCATATCTGAGCTTACCTGGGGACGGGGTGCAGTAGCAAATGGGAGGTGTCCTTAGGGTATGCTGGTGGCAGATGTGATGCTGGAATGATATATGTATAAAGCTATCATTAACAGCATTATAAATCATGTTACTTCAATAAAAATGGGGGTTGGGTGAATGAAAAAATTAAAAGGATAAGAAAATGCTTGTGCTGATATAGCGGAGCTTTGACCGCAGGGTTGGATGTTACCTGTCACCTCATGTATGGAGACTGTCACAAGTAAGTTGAGCTTTTTCTTGTGCTAGATTTCGAGACCACAGTTCTAGCGGTACAATTTTTCTCTCTGAGAAACACAGTGCAAGTGATTATGGGGGAAAAAAAAACCACACCAAAAAACCCTCTAAAGACAGTGATTCCATGGCCCCCTTTTCTCTGCCATGTTCTGCCCACTTCCCATCCACAAACAGAGCTTCGCATCCTGGACACTAATGCTGCTATTATAACTATTACTAATACTACAATAGCAACTGTCGTTTTCCTTCATTCTGATTAACAAACTTATAAAAAAGCTCTTTTGATCACTGATAAGAAGATGACAAAACTTTCCATGTGCACAGACCCCATGGAACAAAAATATGGAATTAAGTTAATGGGTTTCACAGGTTTCGGATACCCTTAGACCAAGGACAATTTTACAATCTGCTGAAACAAAACACCTTCTGGTAAATTTATTGTATTCCAACAGCTAAAGGTCAGTTATACACTGCTGATTGGGAAGATGACGCACGATCCACTGAGCTCAGGTAGTCCCCATGCCCTGTGGGAGCAGCTTGGAGGGACCTTCTCTGGCCGAACTGTTGTACAGCATATGAACATCTGAGGTTACAGACAAGACACTTCCCGAAGAGGCAGTGCTTTTATAGAACATACAATATTACAAATATATTCATTGCATAAGTTAGAAGGGAAAAGCCATATTTGAAAATAAGTCTACTCTTAAAATATATCCATACCCAGTCTTATCAACCACTTTATACAATTCATAATCAAGCAAATGTTATTTTAAAATACTATTTTTGGCCAGGGAGATGGCTCAAAGGGCTGGAGTTCATGCTTTGCATGGGGAAGCTCCATTTTCAATCTCTGGTCCCAGATGGCTTGCCGGGGCCATCTATTCATAGAGAGCACCTTCAGATCCCTGTCCTGTTCCCTACCCCACCCCCAACACACACACAAACACACAGACACCCCACCTAGCACAGCTGAGTGTGGACTCAAAACAATATTTTTGCTTTGAAAGCCTCCTACTGGTTATGAACAATGCTTAAGCTTAGTGCCACATGAACGCAAATCCCTATCTGCCTATGGCTCCTACCAAGGGTCTATTTTCATTTAGCTACTTATTTGCAGTGCAAATAAATTTAACTATTTATTTGGGCCACCCAGAGCCTGGCTCACTGAGGCAAGTACTCTACCACTGACCACTGGGCCACACGCCTCATCCCTTGCTCGGGGTCTACGGGGGCAAGTGTCTGAATTCTGCCAGGGCTGAGCTTTCACCAGGCTGCAGCTAAAACCTGAAGTATAAAGTGCTGATTTCAAGTAAGTGTTCTGAACCTGTGTAAAGCCACAGTACATTATAAAAGGCACTTCGTGGATACTCTCTGAGGCTGAATATAATCACTAAACTTGACGTTTGGCCTCAAAGAGATGTTTTTTAAATGCTACAGATATTAAACTCTCATTACAAAACAACTTCCCCAGGTCTCTCAGGACTTGGCAGTGTGTTCTCCTGGAGAGGGTGGAGGGTTATCTTCTTTCCAGGCTCTTCTGGGAGGTCAGGCCTACTTGATCCACACTACAATGGTCAGTCACACATCAAAGTCCTCCAGGGCGCCCCAGCTGGCACCTATTCTCAGCTTCACTTTCAGATTCACAGAAAGTTTTATGGCATTTTCCATTTCTTTCTTCACAATCTGAGCGACCTGCCAAAAATGAAAAGAGAAGGTAAGGGAGTCTTAATAAACAGTGATGGAAGAATGCTTCTCGGCGCCCCTTAGCAACCACTGAATGGAGATTCACCTCAAGGCACTTAAAATTCTCAGACTCTCCAAACTGGTCTACACTGAAGAGGCACTCTGCCAGGGTAGCTGGAAAGCTCAGAGCTTCACAACCCCAGGGCCAGACTTCACATTCCCCTCCGACTCCTCAGAAAAATAGCCCTGTGCCGGGAATTTCTGTAAAGGCATAGTTCCAGAGCATGACTCTGGAGCACTTTTAGCTCTTCTCTAACTATACTATGGACAGATACGTACATCATTCCTACAGCTGCAAGGACATTCGGAAGGGATCCAACAATTTCACACACAAGGGCAAAGTAGTGACTGCAGGACCAGTGAGCGAAGCATTGTTGCTGTCTACAGAATGGAAGCAAAAGCTGCAAAAATACCTGAAAAGGGCTGGAGTGATGGCAAAGCAGGCAGGGAGCTTGCCTTGCACACAACTGACCTGTGTTTGATCCCGGCATCTCATATGACCTCCAAGCACTTCCAGGAGTGATTCCTGAGTGCAGGGCCAGGAGTAACCCCTGAGCACTGCTGGACGTGGCCCCCAGACAAACAAACAAACAAATACCTGAACAATATCCTCTTGTGCCACTTCATATAAGAGTTCATCATGGAGTTGAAGGACGAAGAAACCGCCTCTGATTGGGCAGAACATGCCCTGAAGTTTTCTCTTGGGCAACTTTCCTACCATGAAAGAAAGGAATAAAGCTCTTTAGGTATTTTGAGAGAAACTGCATTATATTAAGAAATTAAAACACACAAGACTTATGACCCTAAAGAAAACAAGTACTTGGGGGTATGGTGCCGCCAGCAGGTCAATCTGTACCTGTGAGGCGAGTGCATCAGCAGCCTGATGGCGCCTTCAGACTTCCAGATACCCCAAAATTGCTGCTGTGCCTTTGGCCAGACCCCAACAACTTGGGGCAAAGTTTACCAAGAAAGTAAACGGCCAAAAGTTAGGTATGTGGGAGACACACCCACAAACCACCTCCAGCTCAGCTATATAATTGAAGGCAAGGCCTCTTTGGTTCCTGATGGAACTGCTTTAACGGCCATGATCCCAGAGACTCAGAAACGAATCTTGGAACCCAGCGGCTTTAGGTAGAAATGCGTCTGGTCCCTGCAGTAGGCTACCAGTGCTGGGCCAACCGAGGTGGGAATAGGTTTCGTGCCCTGAGCTGTTCCCCCTGGCAGCCCAGTGGCCACCATCCTTCAGAGGCCACTGGATAGTCAGATTTGGGCCCCCAGTGATGAGACACACAGGGCCTCATGGGATGGAGGTGGAGCCGGGCCTGTCCTCCCCACCCCAAGAGACCCCAAGTCATCGCCCGCAAACGGCCTCTCTGGCTCCTGATCAAGCTGCTTAATGGCCATGACCCCAGAGACTCAGAAACAAATCTCAAAACCCAGTGGCTTTTGGCAGAAATGCATCCGGACCCCACAGTACGTTACTGTCGCCAGGCCACCCCAGGGAGGAAAGGGTATTGTCCCTCCACCTGCTCCCTCTTGGCGGCTTGGTGGCCGTCATCCTCCAGAGGCCATTGAACAGTCAGGCTTGGGCCCGCAGTGACGAAACTTGTTGGGCCTCACGAGATGATGGGGGAGCTGGGCCTGTCCTCCCCACCCCAACGAGACCAAGTCATCGCCTATGAATGGCCTCTCTGGCTCCTGATGAAGCTGCTTAACGGCCTTGATCCCAGAGACTCAGAAACAAATCTCAAAACCCAGTGGCTTTTGGCAGAAATGTGTCCGGACCCCACAGTAGGTTACTGTCGCTGGGCCAACCCAGGGGGGAAAGGGTGCTGTCCCTCCGCCTGTTTCCTTCTGGTGGCTCGGTGGCCGTCATCCTCCAGAGGCCACTGGACAATCAGGCTTGGGCCCGCAGTGACGAAACTTGTTGGGCCTCATGGGATGGGGTGGAGCCGGGCCTGTCCTCCCCACCCCAATGAGATCCCAAGTCATCGCCCACCAACGGCCTCTCTGGCTCTTCATCAAGCTGCTCAACGGCCATGTTCCCAGAGACTCAGGAGCAGATCTCAAAACCCAGTGGCTTTTGGCAGAAATCCCTCCAGATTCAAGTGTTAAAATTTCGGAATTTCAAAACCACATGGCCCTACTGCAGCCACACGACATCATCTGTTATTCATAACTAGCAATAGAACACAAATTGTCTATTGTTGCCTTTTCAGCAGATCTGAGTGTTGGGGTAAAATCTCAAATAATAATGGTGGGTCTGGTGTCGAAATATTGAATGTGATCAAAGTAGAGAGAGAGAGTAATGTGGAAATAATCTGCCCGACAGGTAGGGGGAGGGTGTGGGATGAGGGTATACTGGAGTTTTTGGTAGTGGAGAATGGGCATTGCTGAAGGTACGGGTGTTTCATTGTATGACCGAGACTTAGACTCAAAAGCTTTGTAACTGCTCTCACGGTGATTCAATAAATAAAATTATCACTTAATCACTTAATCACTTAATCCCCGTTATTCATCGATTTATTCGAGCGGGTGCCAGTAACGTCTCCATTCATCCCGGTTGCGTGCTAGCGTAGCCCAATGGTATCTGTTCGTTTTAGGAACATGTAGAGCCTCAAACCGATCATTTAGGGTCTTGACGAAGAAGTCTGACCATCTTATAGGTGGGCGTCCACGTGATCTTTTGATGTCTCGTGGAATCCAATCAGTAATGGCTCTAGTCCAGCGGTTGTCTGTAAACCTCATTACATGTCCAGCCCATCTGATTTTTGATGTCTTGGCAAATGAGACAGCGTCTCTGATTCTTGAGCGTTGACGAAGATCAGAACTCCGGATTCTATCTCTCATTTGAGTGAATCGTGATATTCCAAGCATAGTTCTTTCGATTCCTCTTTGAGAGACCCGAATAGTGTTCTCATCCTGTTTTCGTAGGGTCCAGGTCTCTGAGGCATATGTTAATGCAGGAAGAATAGTGGAATCAAAGAGATGTGCTCGTAGTTGGAGGTTCTTTGTCCTTTTAGTTATTTCTTCAATGCTCTTGAAGGCATTCCAAGCCGCTCTCTTCCTCCTGCGTAACTCAGGTGCCAGGTCATTCATCATGTTGATTTCTCGACCTAAGTATATATAACTGTTGCATTCGGAGATGGTGGTTCCGTTGAGAGCGAATGGAGCGTCAGGAACAAGGCTGTTGTTTATAATTTTATAAATAAAATTATAAAAAATGAAAAAAAAAACATAAGGTGGAGTTCATGCACAATTCAATCAGCTAATCAGTGGCTGAATAAATAGCAGTACTCCTACAAAAAAAAAAAAAAAGAAAGAACAAAAAAAAAAAAAGAAAAAAAAAGAAGTACTGGCTGGTTGCTACCTGGTTCACCTCACAGTCTAATTCAAAGCCCTTTCAATTTCCTCTGGAAAAGGAGTCTAATAAAGAAGTCAAAGACACATTGTCTTTTGAAATTCTTTTCTCACTGGTGCACAACACCTGCTCTGGATAAAATTTAATGGCATTAAATTAAATTGTACATCAAAAAACTCAAATTATTTTTTTTCAGAAGAAATTGTATCACCTTAGAGAATGCTTCTTTGAGCTTCTAGTCAGGGGCCACATAGGCAGGTGTCTGTGTTTAAATGTTTAACATTTAAATCTTCAACATTTAACCCAGGGACTAACACATAAACGCTTTCGATAATTGATAAAGTGAAATGAATTTTTTAAGTTAAACAGGAGTCATAAAATGGAATTTGGGGACTTCTACTCTATACTTTAGCTGCTTGATATCCTTTGTCTGGCCTTTAATTCTGAACACAAAGATCCTCCTGTTCTCTGTGAGATTGGCTTCTTCAAATCTGCTGCCCTGGCTTTGATCACCCGTTCCCTACAACCTTTAACCTAGCATGACAGGAGGAAGCCAGTCTCAGTCAGACATCCACATTGCTTCCCAATCTCTCTCTCTCAAAGCTATTACTTTCTAGACCTGTATTTTGGTCCTGCATTAACACCTCTGTGAAGAGTTACATAAATACTTCAGTCAAATAACACATCTGCATCTGCCTTTTCTCTCCTTAGGCAGTTTTAAATTTAAATGAATTGATAACTTTGACTTCCAACTATAGCAATTCCCCATATCACGATCACGATCATCCTTTTATTTGTTGATTGCCTTGAGCAGGCCCCAGTAACGTCCCCTTCATCCTAGCCCTGAGATTTTTAAGAAAGTGCCATATTCAAGGCTCTTTAGGAGAATGAGACCCATCATTGCTACTGGTATTTGGCATATTGGGTACACCACGGGGAGTTTGCCAGACTCTGCCATGTGGGCAGGTTACATTCGGTAGCCTGCCAATTTGTCCAAAGTAGGAATGAGATAAGTTTTCCTCCCCGTGAGGAAAACTCAACCCGCTCCCCTCCAAGGGTCCCCAGCAAGGACAGCCAGGCACGGGGACAGGAGACTGCACTGTTCTCTTCCGGGAGCTGGGTTTTATAATCTCTGAGTCTTGGCCGTTGATGAGATTACACGGCGCCAGGGGGCCAGTTGGTGGGTGTGACCCCCGCCTACTGGAATTTGGAGGACCTGGGTGGAGGATGCTCAGCCCCAATCAGAGTAGGCTTGGAGATCTCAGCCCTGGGACCCGCATGCCTTTGTTCCTCTGCCAGTACCTTCATGTGTGCGAAGAGTGGTATCAGCATAGTGGTGGCTGTTTCTGGAGGTCTTTGGCTGCCGGAGCCCTGGTCGGGGCAGGGAGGAAAACTCAACCCGCTCCCCTCCAAGGGGCCCCGGCAAGGACAGCCGGAGCAATAGCACAGCGGTAGAGCGTTTGCCTTGCACGCAGCCAACATGGCCGACCCGAGTTCGATTCCTCAGCCCCTCTCGGAGAGCCCAGCAAGCTACTGAGAGTATCTCGCCCGCACGGCAGAGCCTGGCAAGCTCCCCATGACGTATTCGATATGCCAGACACAGTAACAACAAAGTCTCCAATGGAGACGTTATTGGGCCCACTCGAGCAAATCGATGAACAACGGGGGGGTCTTTACCTTTTACCTTTACTAATTTTCATTAGTTCTAAAAAGTATTTATTTTCATACAACATGTTATATGAAAAATGAGTTTTTGCTATTTATAAGTCAATGTTTTTTAAATTCCTTGTTTTAATTTTTAACACAGTAATATCTGTTAATATGGGGCATATAAACAAAAGGTCTTTTGGAATTATTAATAATTCTAAGAGTATAATGGTATCATCAAACTAAGAGACTTGAGACTTGCTAAGAAATCTGAGAAATATATACATATAACATATTAAACGCTCCCTTTTCTCATCTGGTACAATGAGTCTCACCAGACTACAGTGGGGCCCCTGCTGGGAACAAACCTTTCCTGTCACTTCGAAGCACACCCTCCCGATGACCATGGGACTTGAAGGTTGAATGGAGAGTCTCTAGTTGTCTCTGAATATTAACTGTGGCTATTTTGACAATATCAGCTGCTGATCCTTGGACCGTGGTGTTGATAGCCTGACGCTCGGCCTATAAAGAAATACCAGCACTCCATCAGATTTGACAACATGGCTTCATACCTGCTAATGTCCATTTCACATGGATACCCATAACCAGATTAGAAAGGAAAAAGGCTTGACCCAGGACATCAGCTATTAAGCTGCAGCCTAAGACAAAAAATTAGAATGATCCAGAGGTATGTAGAGTCTGGGGTATCATGTACACAGGACTAGATTGAAATAGAAAGATTGTTTCAGCTTAGAAATATTTACCATTCTGTTTGGATCTAATATCTGCATTACAGTAAATTATATTAGCTCAAACTTAATTTAGTCCAGAAACATATATCATCAATATTCTAGCAGTTTGAAATTTCACTCCAAAGGGCTCATTTCTCAAAATACAACGCCTCTTAACCTTAAATATTTGTAGGCTGATTATCAGTCTGTACAAGGTGTTGGAATGTTGCAAGTGTTTCCTGCCTATCAGAGGCCTATGTTGCGTTTGGCTACAGCAGTGTGGGACCCTCTGATATGAGTCTTTGCTTCTTCTAATGGAGGTTAGGACTGATCACTAGCTGTTAGTGAAAATGCAGAACCCAGATTCCTCAAAAGTAAATTAGAACTTCCCTGACACTGCTGATGCCATGGACATCTTCACGGGGAAACCACAGCTGCCAAAAGAAGGTGCTCCCCCTGGGAAACAGGCAAGGCACAGCTGCCTACAAATATCTCAGCTGTCTAAGGTCTCAGAAAATGAAGGTCTACTCAGAAGAAGGATCTGAGGAGTGAGTTTCCCAGCTCCTTCTCACTTGGTCTGTACTCAAAATCTAATCAAATACCTGTTAGAGGTGCTTAAAAAAAAAAAGTTTACTGTTATTCTATAAAATAGAATCCATTTTAATTCACTTAATTGTCACTGTTTAAAGAGTGAATAAATTTCAGATTTCTATGAGTTCTCTCCTTGATTATCTAGTGAACTATCTTAAGTGATTATCTGTTCTCTTTTATCTGGGATTACCTGGCTTCCCCTACAGCTGTGTAACTTGAGTGTTCTTCACTGTAAAAGAAAGACTGTGAGAGGTCCAGGTAATAAAATAGAGTAAAATTGATATATAGAGGGAAAGTGCATATGGGTCTTAAAGTCCAACCTCTGGCTGCACTGGTCCTGGGTTTAATCCCTGTACCACGTGGTTCCTGACATCACAGGGTATAGCACTGGAGGCCTCCAAGTCACACCACGTGTACCCGTGCTGTTCCCTGAACCACAGGGTCTGAGGCCTAGCACTGTGCTGTCCACCCAAGTTAGCCAAGATTCATTGGGCTTGGCCAACGGGCCTCCTAAAGCACTACTTGGGAGTCCCTGAAACTCAGCATCCTTGAAAGAAAAAAAAACCTTAAAAAAGGGACATATAGCATGTTTAAGACACTTTAAAAGTTATCCAGTATTCTGTCTGTTTCTGTCTGTCCCATCCCTCCCTTACACACACACACACGCGCGCGCGCATATCCCCAAAGAGAATTCTTTTCCTCTTCATCATGAACTCTGTCTGTGAGAAAAATATGAAACAGAGCCACAGTCAACCTATGAACTAAATATAATGATCCCTGCTAGAAGTCACAGGGTTTGTTTTTTTCACTGTAAAATAAGTGAGCAAAAATATTACTATATATATATACATATATATTTATACACACACTGTAACTCTCTAGCTATTTTATTTCCCCGGTTCTCTTTCCAACTGAGAAAACTTGAGGGTTTTTACTTTGTGTCACACAATCTCAGTCCCACTGTCACCAACATTAGGTCACACAATATTTTAAGTATCATAATAAAAGATAAAGACTTTAGGACCACTGATAACAACTGGAAAAATGGCAGAAAAACACATCTTGGAATGAATTTGACAATCAAAGAGGAAGAACCACCAACTCAAGCTGGGGAGATGGCGGGAGGGGCTGCAGTGCATGCTGTGCATGTAGGAGCCCCAGCTTCGATCCCCAGCACCACATGATCTCCAAGTACCACTGGGAGTGACCCTCAAGCACTGAGTTGGAAGTAGTCGCCAAGCATCACCAAGGGTGTTCCCAAAACAAGAAAAGTTAAAAAATAAAATAAATAATGAAAAGTAAACCTAGAAAGTTAAGCAAGAAAGGAACCCAAAAGGTGAAAGTTGCTACTTTCCAGAAATGAAGAGTTTCTGATGCTCTGAAAGATGCAGGGAAACAAATATTTAGATTCCAGGCCCAAGTTATTATGCTCCAAATCAACACGATAGGGAAAATGGTCAATGGGAATAGCCTGGTCCTAACACTCCAACCATGACTATGCCTAATTTTGAATCAAAGTTAGGCATACATTGTTTATGAGATTATTCTTCCTAGTCTCCTGCCAAAAGTAAACGTAAATTCTCTGAGCAGCATTATATCAGCTTCACACTACCTCCATATTCATCCTATGTAGTGTTTAACACTCAAAATAAAGCAGCCATGAAAATAAGGAGTTGAAACAATTGTCTTTTATAGAAAATTAAGAAAAAATAAAAGACAACAGGAAGAGATAATAAGGAAACACATATGCAACTTATCAGACTATAGGCTATTATCACACTAGATCGCAAGATAATGTTGATATGCAAATAAATAAAAGACAAAAATGAATATTTCCGCAGAGAACTAAGTAAAAAGCATAAGACACTACACTACAACCACCAGAATAAATAATTATTACATTTCATTCATTTAATAACAAATATTGGCAAGGGTGTAGAGCAGAGATTTTCCAAACTTACTTGGCTTATTTTCCTAAAGAAAAATATAAATCACTCGGCAGCACCTCCAGAAATCCTTTTAAGAGAACAAACAGAAAGTGCTTCTGGCAGTACCCGAAACTAGCACAGTCCCTCTGGATTAGCCAGGTGTCCTCTAGGGTATGGTAGCACTGTGGCACTGTCCTCCCATTATTCATTGATTTGCTCGAGGGGGCACCAGTAACATCTCCATTTGTGAGACTTGTTACTGTTTTTGGTATATTGAACACGCCATGGGTAGCTTGCCAGGCTCCACTATGCGGGAGGGATACTCTCGGTAGCTTGCTGGGCTCTCCGAAAGGGACAGAGGAATCAAACTCTGGTCAGCTGCGTGCAAGGCAAAAACCCTACCCGCTTTGACTGTAAACACTGACCTGTAGAGCAGCAAGAACAGACAAACACCTGCAGTGGAGGGCACACTGCCATGACAAACAAGGAAACCAGTCTAGTTTGAGCTATAAAATCTGAAGATAAGTAGCACGTCTATAAATATATCTTTGCCAAAAAGAAATGGAAACATATGTATACCAAGAAACTTAGACAAAAATATTTACATCATCAACATCCATAATAGCTCCAAACTGGAAATCAAACACCCAACAGAAAAGTGGAAGAATTGTGGTATATTCACATAATAAAATACTATAGAGCTATCCCTTCATTAAAACATCATGAAGAATTTGCCTCTATAATTTTTTTAGATGATTTCATTTTTATTTTTAAATTTTGATTAAAGAGCCATGATTTACAAAGTTACTGATAGTTGCACTTTAGGCATACAATAATTCAATACCAATCCCTCCACCAGTGTCTACTTCCCTCCGCCAGTGTTCCCAGATTCCCTCCCCATCCCAGCACCCCTCTGTTCCCACCTGTGAGCTGGACAGGCACATTACTAAGTTCCAATGGTTGCTGCTTAAATCTTATGTTTTCAGTTCTGTTTTGGGTATATGGCTCTACCCCTCACTCATGTCACTGATAGAACTGAAGCCCTGATGCCTGTAAACCTACTACTTCTTGCTCTCTTCCACATCCCTTGACTTGTTTCCTTGTTTGTTTCTCTCCTCTCTAAAGACTGGGATCAAGGATGATCTAAGTTTCCCCTTTTACTACAATATTCCACCTGTAGAGCAATGAGAAATATAATAAAATTCCCTTTCACTACAATGATCTCACATTCTGTGTTTGTCTTTTTTCTTCTGGCTTACTTCACACAACAAGATATCTTCCAGTTCCAATCATGTTGCAGCAAACTGCATGATTTCATTATTTCTTGCAGCTGCATAGTATTCCATTTTGTATATATACCACATCTTTATAATCCATTCATCTGTCATTGGACATCTCAGATTATTTCTCTTAGTTACTGTACTGAGTGCAGCAATGAATAATGGTGTGCATATGTTCCTCTTGAAGTTGTTTGAATTTTCCTCCAGTGATTGCTTTAGTTCAACAGCCATTATATGAAACACTGATTCAGGTTTCTCGTCAATGAGGCTTAAGAGTTTATTTGAGCTCTGTGTTTTTGCTAGGATTTCTGTCCCATCTGACAGAGCAGGTGAAATCTTTTGTGTCACCAATGTTCCTAAAGATTTGTGGGGCTAAAATTTGAGTTTAAGATGCCATATATCTGAGGATTGATGTAATTTTTTTCCAGCAAGTAGTACTCTTTATAATCTATTAGTCTAACTACGTATGTGCACTTACGATGTTATTCCAGTAGTCAAACAGTTCAGTCTCTAATATATCCGTTTGTACAGAAGAGTTAAAGTAGACATATTTGAGGAGGTATATAGAACTCAAGAACCCTTAAGTTGGGGGAGAGTGAAGGATTGGTGTCCACATGGTTTTGGGTTCCAGAGGGCTTTGGGAGGGGCTTTGTGAGTTCAGGGGACCCAGCACAGGGTGGGAGACAGAGCAGGTTGCCTGTATAATTTTAAGTGAAAGAAGATAGACACAAAAGATATGTGACATAATTGAAGTGTATGTGTGTGTGTGTGTGTAAGAGAGAGAGAGAGAGAGAGAGAGAGAGAGAGAGAGAAGGAAGGAGGGAGGGAGGGAGGGAGAGAGGAGGGAGGGAGGGAGGCAGGGAGGGAAGGAGAGATTTTTAGAGTCTGAGTTATCACTTGTGGATAAGCTATACATACATAAGTATACATACATAGAATTAGAGGAGTTAAGAGTTAAGATAGTGGTTATCACTGAGGAAACAGTGTTGATT